CATTTTGGATTTGCATCTCTCTCTCGTTATTTGAAAGATTTAGTATATTCTTGCGACATTTTTCCAATGTCTTTCCTTCAATATATTAAATTTTCAAAGAAGAATTTAATTTTACATCGACGTTTCCTTCTGTAATGACTTTATCTAAACTGAATAAAGTCCAACCTATAAAATTAGTATAACGCTAGAAATACATTAAAACTAAATAAGAATGACGTTTATTCAAATGCAGTGACTGACATATGTTAAAAAAGAATTGCCTTCCCTATGCCTATGTGAAATTTATAACATTTCTCATTCTTAATTGTAAGCTTGCGTTATACATCATATATAGATCTTTCAAAAGAACTGACGGGTGATCGATTACGAGGAATTTTCTGCTCGCCATTTGCGCGCATTCATCGATCGCGCCAAAGCACTCGCCGTATAATGGTTTCATTTTCCATTTGTATCTCGCCTACTAACGCTCCAATATCTCTCGTCCCGCCGCGCTTTAATAATATTACGCATTGTTGCGAGCGCGGTATGCATGCTTGTAAATTCGCCACGGTTTTCCGCCAATTTCGCGGCTGCGAGCCAGACGCGCTCTTCCCCCTTCTTTGCCGCAAAATCGCCACGGGATACTCCGCTATTTCAATTATAGACGCAAATACCTTTTTTTCCCCCTCGTGCGACGTTGATTTACACGCACGAAAAAAATTTTCATTGGCAACGGAAAAATAGCACGCAACGTTTTTTTAAACGAATTTTGGCGATATATGAAGTATAGATTCCCGCATTGAGAGAACGAAAATAGACGAGGATTTTTACAATGGATAATAAAACATACCTTTCTGAACGCGATATGACATTCGAGCTATTTTATATCACAATGTGATATTTGAATACTATTTTGAACGCCATGCAATAGATAGATAATTTCAGTCTGAAATTGTAAACCATCGTGCCTCAAACTATCGCGATAGTAGAAATCGATCCGCGCGAATCGTGCGTGTGGAACAACAGGATCTCTCGCTGATTCCCATACGAAGTAAATCTGCCGTTGGACACCAAATAGCATTGAAACGCATTGGTGTACTCGGCTTAGAGTGGGAAGGTTGCAAAAGGGTGACTAAAGGAGTCGGCGGTGAGAGGAGAAAGAGAATGAGGGAGAGAGAAAGAGAGGGGAAAGGTTTCGGGCTCTCGAGTCATTTCTCCGAGCCAACACAGACCTCTCAACTCGACGCCACTCGTGGAAACGAAATCTGATACGAGAAAAGCTAAACTCCTTCAAATGCACAAGCCGTTCTCTATTCGCCTTCTATCTACCCTCTCCCGCCTATACCGCTGCTACCTCCGTCGTCTTCTTACTCCCTCCTCCCCCCGCTCTTCGGAGTTTGCAATCCCCTGAGCGTCCTCCTCGTTTTCCGCCGCCTCTTTCGACTCTTGCTCCTTTCAGCTACCCACTTATACTCAGTCAACCCTTTTCATTGCGAAAATGTCGTTCTGCAATTCACCTTTCCTCTTCCTCTTCCTTCCCCTTCCTTTCCACTTTCTCTCTCTTTTTCTTGTTCTCTCTCTCTCTCTCTCTCTCTCTCTCTCTCTCTCTCTCCTCTCCTCTCTACTTTCCTTCTTTTTATACGTCGTTCAAGGACGTTCCACTTTCTTCTTCTTCTTTCCTCCCATTCTCTACATCAGAGAAACCCCGCGCTCCAGATTTGTTTTCTATCACTCTATTCCCGATTAAACATTGCCCGCCGCACGCTCTTTCTCGAAGAGCAACTGCTCGACTTCCGGCTATTTAACCCCCTTAATTAATAGCCGGCATAAGAGTCTCAGATTCCGCCTCTTTCATGGCACGCGACCTTCTTTGGAAGGGAGGAAAAAGTCGAGTGGAGCCTGTCGCTTTTTACTTTCGTGAGTAGACGGGTAAGGAGTATTGTAGATGTACATTGAGTAAACTGAACGAGTAATGTCAAATAATAAATAAATTATCGTTTTCCAACAGTATTCTTTGTACATATCTCTTACAGCTTATTATAAAATGTTCCTTTTTCTTCTTTCCTTCATTATTCCAAGATTTAAATTTAAATGACGCTACGTTCTTTATGTACTAACAATAAGAGCATTGTGTACTTGGAAATTAATATTACATATTATGTTGCTAATGTTAAAAGAAAATGTCAATTAGGCGAAAATTTAATTAAGTAGTATGCAAGTTAGTTTTTTTAAAAAACAAAATCAAAATTTATAAAATGGGTACATTATAAAAATATTATGACACTACATGCAGCAGAAATAGCATACTGTTAGTTTCATGGCGATTTTAATGCTATGATAGTGCATTAAAATAACTATTGTGCATTTGCAGCTATTACTGTACTCTGCTTGAATGTAAAAAGATGTCTATTTTTTAAGAATAAAAAAGAAAAAAGTAAACTTTAATTTGTGTTATTTCGCTCTATTGATTATTTACCAACATATGAATTTATATGAGTTTTAGTCTTATTCTAATCATTTTTATTTTTCTTAAGAAAGATTGAATTTTGCTTCGACTTTTCTCGACTATTTACTGTGCTATTAGTCGTAAAAGCACGTATATACATAATAGGCTGTGTATGTATCCGCAATGTATTGAGCTCGAGTATGTGGGTTCACTAAACTACTAAAGCTAAATGACTGTGCGGATCAGTCATCCCTGCAGAAGAAAGGTGCCTGAAGCGATGCCAAGATGATGCTGCCGCCGCACGATGCGTAAGAAAAGCTTGTTGTTTCGCTTCGCTCGATGGATCGATAAAGCTTTTTTTTTTCTTGAATAAATTTCACAAGACACGTGGTATGACTTTAAATTATTCGCAAGTTCAATGCTGCTCGCGTGCAAAGAATGGATTTAATGGGTGTGAAATATATGGAAGTTCAGATACGCAGTCGTGGTTTTACAAGAGCTTTACTTTCTAAAGCGCAGTGATTTATTATTCTCGTGATTAATAAAACATTCTATTAACTTTTCTAAAAATATTAAAAATATTTTTAGAAAGCAATATGCTAAATATTAATGTAAAATATAACAGTATAATCACAGGAATCAATTAGCTTAAATTGTCTTATGCTGTAAAGCAATATAACGAAGTTTACGCAATATAAACGTTTATTATAAAAAAAAAATAGTAAAAAGATTATTCTCATGGCAGACTTAAATGAATTATGTGGAAAGACCCTTAGGAAGGATTATGTAATTTACATAAATACATAATTAAAGGAACAACTGCGGTGTGTTGTTAAATTCATGTTGTTAATAGAAAGGAAGATTTTCATAGATTTAATATAATGGAACATCCATATGTAATTGATGCAATTTATTGCGGTTCAGCCACATTTAACATATCGAGTATTATTAACGATCCGCACGCGGCTTTGCAGGGATCGTCGCACATTCAGCACGCCCTTTCGCTCTTTCGATCGATAATAATTATTCTCGTAAATTCAGGCACAAGCACGCGTGTATGAGCTACAGGCCGGAAAAGGGGAGGATAGGAAGGACGGAATTGCCAGGCCTGCTCGGTTAAATGCTCATAATGACGTCTCGTAATTGCATCGAAAGTTTCTAGGGAAACTGTAATTATCGTACAGGCTCACTTCCAACGATATCTTCGGCCCCCCGGTCGCCTGTAATCGACGGGACGCCAAACCTGAAGAAAGGAAAGCTGCTTTTCTGACGGAATATTTTTCCAAGCGCGGGCGAGAACGGCGTTATCTCGAATCGAAAAGAGGATCGAGAGCTTTATAATGGAGCCTCCTACCCTCGGATATTCGAAAGAGAGACAGAGAAGCTTAAAAATGCGTCATTTGAAATTTTCTCTAATCCCTGCTCCAGTTAAATCAATTAGCGCCAACGAGAAGATTGTTCAAATTTCCTCTCATTCGTATACACTACGGCCCTTCTGTACACAGTTTAATTTAAAATCGCCATTTTTAATCCCAGACTTTGTTAAACTCCAGCACTCATTTTACAGTTGATAACGTGCATAAATTTCCTAGCTTTACAAATTTTATAGTATTACCAGTTCTTATATATAATAGCATTTTAATGATAAATAACGATTATTTAGTATAAACACAAAAAACATACAATTTTATATTAATTTACTTACTAATCTTTTTTTGTAACTCTAATAGTTATTTTTATCACACGTAAAACTGATGGAAAAAGAAGAATAACAGTTATAAATATGCTTTTCCTTCCATCAATAATCTAATATTTTGCATTTTTTATTTAATTAAGATTCCATAAAGTCATAACATCCTCGGTTTCTAATAAGTTTGTAATATTAAAGCAATTGTACTACTTCGTTCCGCAATTAAGAAAGGAGTCGATTGCTCGAAGAACATGGTTCTAGTAGTATGAATCGACGTTGTTTGCGGCCGCGACGCACCGCTCGTTTGTATCGATGATTACTCCAAGATTCATCGAGCCTGCCACATTGATTTGAATAATTTATTCGAACGATCAACCGTATTAATATTCATTATTCGGTCAATCATCGGCACTCGGATAATTATCTGCGTAAACGTTCATTATTCGGCTAAGCGGATGCATCTGGCAATTGATTCGGCACTCGGCATATGTTGAAGCTATCTAAACATTTCTATAGATAGAACAATGTTGATACATGCAGCAACAACCGTGATTTGTGATCAGAGGTGACTAACTTGCGTTTGGTTTGAAGGATAATCATCCAGAAGCCATCGCGCATGTCCATAATGCAAGTAGCATAATATATCATAATATACTATTGCATAATATAATTTTATAATATTCACTCACATCGCAAAATAATCGTTGTAGTTCTTTGTAATATATTTGGAATTAATTTACTGCATAAAGTTTTGACAGTTAAAAATTTGTTGCCAATTTTATCAAGTTAATTCCAATTTTTATTTAAATTTGGAAGAAACTCGCATACACGCATATATTTATCGCAATCGAACATTAAGTTAATTATTACGTCATGTTCACTTACCCCGCTGAAGGTCTTGACGTTATGAAGAGCGTTCTGCGCTGCCAAAGCCGCTTTTCTAGTGTAAAAGGTTACAAAGCAACATCCTGTAACAGAAAATTGATGATTTTGGTTAGTTGAGTATTTAGGAAAAGTATTAAATTAATTGATCATTTCGCTAATAAAAAATGTTAAGGATGGTTTCTTACATCAGCTAAGCTTTTCTTTGAAGATTTATCATTAAAGCTAGTATTACTACTGTCCTTTGTCAGTCAATTTCACAAAGAAAAATTTATTTCAATTATTGACAGACTAATTGTAAAAATTTTTATCGACATTATGACTAAACTGACATAAAAATTTCACAATATATCAAAAAAATAAAAATTACAAAGTTATCGAACTACAACGCTACTTTCTAGCAGTAAGCGAATGAAAAGTTCCGCACTTCGGGTCATCATACTCAATGTGGCTACCAACAAGAAACTATGATAGACACGAATGGTCGCAGAGTTCGTGCAAACGGTGACAGGTTCGATATGGAAGACGATCGGAGGGGAAAGAGTGAAGTCGACTCTCGGGGACCTCATCAAGGGTCTTCCGTATCCCCCGGTTGTCGAAGCTGGACACTATCCAAGCTTCAACCGGTCGATAGTTACGAGTTGCCAAAAGTTCGAACCCCGTCTCTTTCTCAACTAGCATCGTATACTCGACCCGCGTCCTTCTTTGGTATCTCTAACGTCTCAAATGAATCATTAGTTTATGTATAGACGAAATAAAGATGGCCGAATGCTCTGTCAAATAGAAGTTGAAAGATAATATGGCGTATAAATAATGTATAAATCTATAGTCAGATTCCATAAAATCAAAGATTTGTAGAGATTTAAATTTCGCATTAAGGAAATTGCGTTATTAAAAATTTGTTGTATAAAAATTCTATGAAATCAAGATTTATCGGTTTATGTAATTTCAATTTCAAAAATTTGTGAAAAATATATATACATAAATTACGTACATATAAAGATAAGTAATTAAACTAAGAAAAAATGTAATTTAATAGTGAGATATAGTAAAATTGGAGTCAATGAAGGGGAAGAAGGGAGTATTTGAGTAAAAGTAAAAAATCGTATGTAAAATTTTCAAGACAGCTAAAAAGCCTAAAAGCTTCAAAAAACCAAAAAGCTGAAAAAGCCTCTCCTTATTTTGAAAATTTTATATTCGATTTTTTCTTTTACTGACTCAAATAGCTTCTCCTTATCCTACATATAAAAACAAAATCTATAAAAAATCAAGTCATTGTAAGATAAAAGTTTGACGAAACTATAAATAAGTTTAGAAATCTAAGATCTACGTAAGCAAACATCCGAAGATTTCTAAAACCAAAGTTATTGAAATTTTCTGGAATAATTGTCACATATGAAAGACAATGTCGTTAATTGCGTCAACTGCGATTAGATTTTTCAAATACATTTTCCAAAACGTATCCAAGACTCTTTTTGTAAAGCAGTAAGCAAACAGTATTAAAGATAATGAAGGTATCGCAAAGTTAATGGCAACGCAAGTTAATAACGGTCAGGTTCAATTAACAGGTTTCCTATTTACGATGTATACGAAATTATGATAAACCTGCAACGCGGCACTGAGCACAGAGGGTGTAATTATAATGCGATCGCGGTAATAGTTTCGGTAACAAGCCTTCCAATTACTCGGAGAAATCCCGATATTCCGCAATGTTTTGTTTGGTAACGCGATATTCAATATCGCATTGAATAACGCATGGTACCGCGATGAATGCATAATTGCGAATCGTGCAACCCGATACATAGCGGAATGTTGGAGCCAACGTATTAAGTTTGCCTAATCAAAAAAGGAGTTTTGCTTCAGGCACAGTTGCATATAATATTTCATTTTGAGCCCCCCCCACGTAACACGAGATTGTACAGAGGGAATCTTTGCTAGCAGTGGAAAATAATTGACAATGGAATAATTATACGAAAAGATCGAAACAGATAAAAATAAACGGAAAATCAACTACATAAAACTCATTTTTTGTTTATTTCGTATTTGTTTCTTCAATATGAATTAATCAATTAAACATGCAAACGTTAAAAAGTATAATAACAAAGATTAATCTTTCACTAAAAGTAATTCGGAAATTCGGAAATCAAAGTTGTTTTATCCCAAATAAGATTAAGCTCCTCGCGTGCATGCTAGAGCGAGGGAAGTGACATTCTTAACATGTTGCCAGCAAGTTTCCGTAAATTACGGCATGAAGACGCAGCCGGGAGCCGGGAAATTATGTTCCGGCGAGTAAGTAATCTTAAGGCATCATCGCTCCATAGACCTTTAAATCACCGCCTGCAAACTGCCCCCATGCATCCCTTCGCCTCCCATCGATCGGGCCGTTGTAATGCCCGTGTCTACAAATGACCTCGTTCGTCAAGGTGCTAACGTCAATCCACGTCTGCCCCCGCATTATCACTGGCGAATTATTTTGTCCCCTTTGTCAATCGATTTTGAAGATATATGTAAAACATATTTTTCTGATTATTAAAACTATCGGTCACCAACGTTAACGAGGAGTGTGATAACGTAGTGTACCACTATTTCATAATATCACACTTTTTATTGTGTTTAATAATTTATTTCAATTATATTATTTGATTAAAATTAGAACCTGTAATTGGACTTGGACCAGAATTTGAACTTTAACTTGAATTGATTGTTGCAGCGATGATAACAATGCTAGAAATAAGAGAATATTGTAAATATTATAATAAACAAGTAAAAAGAAATAATAGCAATGTATGAAACAAAGAATGAAATAATTTCCATAACTTGCCAGAACCAATGCGCGCGTGAGACACAATGTAATTGTCGCGATTGCCCCATACGCGTCGTACACGAATTGAGATTAATAATTAATAAGTAAATTATTAAACTGTACGGTAGCGCGCCCCGGTACCTATTCCCAAGTGTACCCGCAACATGGTCCGAATGGCGATAGTTTCCACGACTGTGTCGAGTCGCAAACCGGTGTAATTTCCTGAATTAGTTTAAACGACATGTTTTATTCAGAGTAACAGAGCTTTGTCGGGTCATTTTACAGAACGAGAACTTGGCCGAAGCAAGCGACATTGTTAAATCGAGACACTGCTTCAATATCTCGGAATAATACATAATAAATAACAACGGAAATATATTCTCAACGTTCCTTTGTATTCAGATGTTTACTATACGATGAGTACGTGTGGCGATTACTACGAAATGATTAGTTCGTCATATCGATGTTTAAAAAAAATTAAGATATTATCCATCATTACAGTTGCAAAAAGCTTACTCTTAATTATTAGAAGATAAAATTAAGGAGAAAGTTAAAGACCTGGGATAACCAGAGCACAAAAGAAATATATGCGACACCAAATATGCAATATGAAATATGCGATATGAATAGCTGCACGTTTAATGTCAACCACGTATAAGCGAATCGAAGAGAATTATTCATAGGGTTGAACAAAATAATCATTGTTAGCGGGTTTAATGCTAATGCCAACACGATATAGATTGTAAACCAATGCGCCGAATTATTAACCAATTTATACGCTAATTCTCCGCCGTTCCCTGCCTCCAACGCTGAAGAGAACTTGGAATAGTGACGCCCGAATCATGCCGAAGCGGAAAATTAGCTTGAGTTTTACACTGAAATGCGACAAAATTGCCGTTTTCCGTGATTACGATTGCGGCTGGAGAAAATTCCAAGAAACTACGGACATGACATCGAGAAAAAAAACATAACTCAAAATCCTTCGGTTCGCGTAAACGAACGAATCGTCAGCATTATGAGCGAGGTGCGAATTTAATTTGCGCCGGCGCGAATTACGCCGTCTGCAAAAATCACGGTGAGCGCAAACGAACGAACGAACGAACTAACGGGGATACCTACCATTAGGAATTCCCAATTCACGCCGTAATTATCGCTAATTGGACTCCGGATTATATCCGCGCGACACTCGTCGCGTGAAACGCTCGAGTCGTTCGAGACGCGAATTATGCATGCCCCATACGTATTTCTGAGAGCTACGGAGGGCATTGCAGTGCCGAAAGACTGCACGGGACACGAGGAATTGTGAAGAGGGAGTCAATTTTTATTCCCATTTTAATCGTTCCGCACATTGGAAGTTAAAAATAGAATATTTTCAAATTAAATCTTTGGGTCACAATTTTTAACAAAATCGACAAAAGTAGGACGGCACAAATAATTTTTTTTAAGCGAGAAAGAAAACCATGAGATGCACCGTATAGTTGACTGATCGGTAACCGGAAACCTGCGCTATCTGTCCCATGAGCTCGCGGCTAATACCTCGATGCCAATGCGTGATTAGTGTCCGCGGGGAAATCTACCGCGGACATGTTTGAGAGCTAATGCTCGTTTCTGCCTCAGAACCCCTGTGTGTGCTTTTCCACGCCCGATACGAATGCAACTAATTTCGACGCGATCCGAATCAATATCACTTCTCTAAAATCGAGCCAGCTCGGTGGTCGTCGCGAGTAAAGATATTTCCAATTATAGAACAATTCCTGAATTCTCATCGATTATATAGTACTGGCTGCTGTCAACATTTTTTGTTCCAGCCCCGGAAATCGATTTCTTCGTGAGGATGCGGATCGTCTGGTGATACTGACTGATGATATCTGCCACTTTTTTCCGAAATGAGATACTTCGAGGTAAGAAGAGCGCTAGACGAAACGCTGAATCAGTGGATTACGACACCGTGTCTGTTAGTCGATCATGGCAGTGGAGATAAATCAGAATAGCCACCGTATTCCCTTCAGAAAGATGGAAATTCTCAGACTGTACGATGGATAATTTCATGAAATTTCAAAAGATGCAAAAAATTTCACATTATAAGAAAACAAATCGGATCGAATGAAGCTTTCTTCTCTACTGCAATTTCAATAAATCTTCATTAAAAGGACGTGCAGAAAAGAGCTTTTCAGTAGAATTTACCAATTATTGCAGTCTATTGTTTCTAGAAATAAATTGAATTGGAAAAAAATTCAATTGGAAAACGTGATCAATTACAGAAAGGGTGAAATTTTTGTTAAA